ATTGTTCTCTGACAAATTTTTCTAAATCTGAATGGTTTTCAATATTTCCTCACAGATCTTCTAAGACAAAATAATTGCATGTTAGTCTGTCAAACCAGATGTAGTATGTTCTCATTTATTTATATAACTATAAATAAAATTATTAAAAAATAGCATCCTCATATCTCTCAATGTTAGGATTCTCTTTAGGGCTGCTTTTACATCTTGCTTCCAATTTATTATTATATGACTGTTTCATCAGGCATTTATTTATTTGTAATCTCCCTGTCGACGTATTTCTCTAAAGAACTAGAAAAAGTCTGTTCTGCTAGCATGGCTAATTCTTTTTGTAAATGATACAGATTTATAGTCTTGTTTTATGATCCAAACCTATGCCAGTTCATTCTTTTCAGAATCTAATTCTATTGCTTTATTATATTTTCATCATGCATTCTGAGGTGCAGCTGTGTAAAAATACCTTCATGCTCAGAGGTTCCTTTTGTAATAGAAACTTCAATTGCCACAGGACTAAAGAAATCAGCTGTAATTCAGAAGAGCTGGACTGTTTTAGCAAGATATACATTAATTTCCCCAGGGGCTAAAAGTGTTTTAAAACTATAAATGAAGTAGTTAGTCCTTGTAGAATCAAGGAAAATAATGATAAACCATTTTTAATTGTTTTTGAAAAAGATCAGACTTCAGCACTCTCATCGCCTTACCACTTGTAGTGACTTAGCTCCCTTTGGATGCCTACATCACGAGCAAATCTTGTGACAGCTGCAGCTGTGCTGCTTCTTATGCCTCTCTACTTTGCACCCAAGGATTATGGAATTTAGAAATTCACTTTGACATAATTTAATAAAATTGGTATAATGAGATTAGCTCTTTTCTCCAGTATACAGGTTTGATACTTGACTGTTACAAACCTTCATAAGTCAGTTCAGAAAGTTTAAGAAATGGGGCAGGTGGGATGGAATGAGATGGAATAGAGAAACATACCTCTATTGTAAATTCTGGAATTATATTTGTTGGCTTTATAGATTCTAAAGGAGAGAGTTTTCGGCTCAATGCTAACTCCCCGAGCTCTATAGTTACCTGTTTGTAATTTCAAAAATTTGTAAATTACAAAAATACTGTTTAATTTTATGCCTCAGGTTGGTACTGAATAAAAACTTATTAAGTAGATATTAGTTGGAAAGGCCTTCGTTTAGACTTCTTGGCATTTTATGATGCCTAGTGGTGGAAATTTCCAGTAGTTGAACTGTCACATTTTAGATTACTTTTCTTTAATATTACTTAATTTACTTACTATAATGCATATTACATAGCAATGCATGACTTCATCACCAAAGAAATGAAAATATTTTTGAATAAGTTGATTTGTCCCCAAATCTGTCCACTTCTCCAATAGGAAAAAAAAATGTTATCAGCTTGGTATATATCTTCCAGATATGTATTTGGTATATTTATATATATCTAGAAAATATATGGTATTGATTGTATGTACGTGTTTTGATGAATAGTATATTGTATAAATGAATAAATAGTATATTGTTGATCCTCTCAATAACGTTTTCTCAGAGTTTCTTGGTTAGCAATTCTGGTTAAAAGGGTTCCATACCACCATTTCTATCTCAGGCACAGCTGTGAAGGAGATGAAATTCTTTCTTGGGTTCTATTATTTTGCTCATTATATCCCTTTCCCATCTTCAGTTTTCTTTTTTTTTTTAAGTTTTTATATTAATTCCAGTTAGTTAACATACAGTGTAATATTAGTTTCAGGTGTACAATATAGTGATTTAACACTTCATCTATCATCCTGTGCTCATCAGGACAAATGCACTCCTTATTCCCCATCACCTATTTCACCCATCCCCCCACCACCTCCCCTTGTAACCATCAGAGCCTTTCTTGTTTTGCCTCTTTCTTTTTTTTTTTCTCCCTTTGCTTGTTTGCTTCACTTCTTAAATTCCACACAAGTAAAATCATATGGTATTTGTGTTTCTTTGACTGACTTGTTTCACTTAGCATTAATACTCTCTAGCTCCATCCACATCATTACAAACGGCAAGATTTCATTCTTTTTATGGCTGAATACTAGTCCATTGTATAAATGTACCACATCTTCTTTATCCATTCATCAATTGACAGACAATAAGGCTGTTTCCATAATTTGGCTAGTGTAGATAATGCTGCTGTAAACATCAGGGTGCATGTATCCCTTTGAATTAGTGTTTTTGTATTCTTTTTGTAAATACCTTGTAGTGCAATTCCTGGGTCATAGGGTAGTTCTATTTTTAACTTTTTGAGGAACCTCCAATACTGTTTTCCAGAGTGGCTGCATCACCTTCATTTTTCAGTCCCTCCTCTTTCTTTCCTTATCCCATCACTTAGACTTCGAGGAAGAGATTTCTGTTCTTCACTTTGAACTTAAATCAGCATGTTACTTATAACATTTATGTATTAATCCTTGGCACCAAGTATAAAATAAAAAGCTTCTTTCTAGTTCAAAGAACTTCCAATACCACTAAGACAGTGGGGAAATGTTTTAGGGAACATGAGGTTTCTTTTTTTGTCCCTTAAGTCCTACCTATTAAGTACCTACTCATTCTGTGAGGCCATGAAGCCAACTCAGCCCAAGAAGATTTTGAAAGGAAGAGTACATGTTTTGAGTAGGCCTTCCGTTTGATTATAGAACCACTTGTTGGAATTCCAATTAATAATTTGAAATTATGGTCTCCTCTGCTCAGCCAGAAGCAAGGCACTGAAGAGTTAAGAAGATTGCTCGGTATTACCAAATGAAAAGGAAACAGGTTATTTACTCTGAGAATATCTGCATCACTACAGCTGTTAGATGATAAAAATGGTTGTAATGCAGTTAAGAAACTACTGGCCCTAAAAAAAAAAAAAAAAAAGAACTCTTAGGTTCTCAACCCCCACTTTGGGCTCTTCTGAGGTCATTTGGATCCCAAGCATTAGAAAAAAAAAATTTGACTGCTATTTCTGTGGAATTCAAATTCACCATCCTGGGGCTGTTTTTTTACTTTGAAGAGTGCGTACCGTCTTGCTAAGAATCGGACATAATAGTAACCATTTTGTTTGCTTTATATTTTATTAGAACCCTCAGATTTAATAAGGTTTAATAATTAGGGTGCCCATTTTATGGGTGAAGACATTGAAATTTAAGGTGGCCTTCTTAGTGATTATTTCATAATTCAAACTGAGATGAAGAGAACTTCAAAGTCTTTTCCATTAAACCTTGCAGCTTCTTTTCATATCCTTTTGTTTTTGTTTTTGTTTTTGTTTTTGTTTTTTAATTATTGAATGGAAGGGGCACTGAGTGGCTAGTCAGTTAAGTGTCCACTCTTAATTTCTGCTCAGGTCATGATCTCAGGGTCATGGGATCAGGCCTGGTGTGGGGCTCTGCCCTCATCAGGGAAAAGACTGCTTGATATTCTCTCTTTCCCTCCCCCGCACTCACGAGCACACTCTCTCCCTCTCTTTCAAATAAATAAATAAATAAATCTTTAAACAATATTGCATAGATTGTTTTACAACCAGTCTTATATAATATTTTGGACTCTCACTCTTGGTGTCTTCTTTTTATAAAGTTTAAAAAATGGAGTATTCACAATTAGGTATGAATGTAATTTGCCGTCTTAAAAATTCCAGCAACCAAAACCCATCTAAAGGCTTGCTGATAGGAATTTTCTTTTCGCTTAAATGCATCTGCTAGCTAACATAAAGACCAATAGTGAGAAGCCACTTAATCAAGTCTGTTCACTGACAAAACTTGTTTCTCCATTGCAAATTCTTAGATTTATGAAAGCTTCGTGTTCTTTTGAGGGATTACATAGAGTATTTCTCTGTGTCTTAACAATGTCCTGGCCGTGTTTTGAAGAGATATTATACTTTTCTTTCTCTAGCTTCATTTATCTGACATTGTATGACTTTTTTTTTAAATTTTGGTTTTATTTTTATTTTTATCTGACATTGTTTTAATGTAATGGACTCTTGTAGCTTGGGTTTTTAGCTTCTTTTTATTATTGCAAAATCAGTTGCTGCTACTTCAGATTATTTTCCTGTGAAGATACAATATTTGCACCAGGTATAATTTTTGTTTATATATCATGTTGCATTTAGCGAAAATACAGGTACTCTAGAATAACCTGCTTTTATGTTTGTATTCTTAATTAATATATTTACTCTGTCTTGACACTTAAACTCATTGAAGCAAAATTTTTTATTAGAAAATAAAATTATTTAGTCTTTTATTTCTTGCAACAATTTCAGTCATTTTGCTTTGGAAAGAGAATGCTATTTGAGTCTAACAACATACCTTAAGGTTATTAAGCGTATTTATGTATAGTAAACTTTAAATAATTAGGAAATTATTAAAATATCAACTTAGTCTATTGAATTTTCAGTTAAGAATGACTTAAGCATCTTCACAAGGTAAAATACCTCTGGTATTTAGTGTGCTTTATATTACTCACACAGTGGAGCTCTTTTAGGTGAGTGTGGGTGACGATATTTTGACATGGTGAGATATATATTACTGAGATGCCAAGACCTTGTGTGTATGTCTGTTTTATTCACTGAAACCATCCTGCAAGTATCTGTGAAATGGCTGAGGGTTAGCATTCCATATGTACTTGTGGTTGATGTTTCAGAAATACAAGCAAGAAATTTTGTGTCTGTGAGCTTCTTGGATTGAAAGGATCTTCCAAAAAGTGTTCTCAGATGCTCAGATTGTTCATGGATCCAAATTTAAAGAACAAATTCCGTAACACCACTGGCAATATCACTAAGTCCACTACAACCTTTATAGTCAGTCTTTTTGCATGGTTCAGTTAAGTTCACTTCTGAAATACTGGCCAGTTTTCATTTACTAGTTGAGGTGTTGTCACAATAGCATAAGTTCTTCCATTCTAGGAATGTTAACTAACAATAACTTTTTCTTTTTTTCTTTCTTTCTTTCTTTTTTTAAAATTTTATTTATTTATTTATTTTTTTATTAGAGCATCAGGGCATCGGGCCTTATCCTCTTGGAAACCATTCTTTTTGGGTCTCTGCTGCTATACTTTCCAGTAAGTAACATAATTGAATTTTAAAAATAGCCATTTGTTTTATTTTGCTCAGGCAGTAAATTTTATGTATGTGTATGTGTATTTATATATATCTGTGTGTATGTGTATATAAATGTATATGTATGTATATTATAGTATATATAACTATTCATATATATATATTACTTTTTTATATATCAATATACAAGTTTATATGCCCATATCTATATATAATAGACATATAAAGTAAAAAAGTAAAGTGGAGGTAATCATACTTTTCTTCCCAAATTTGCCAGGAGGGTTAACTGCTTAAGTGAGCTAACATAAAAAAGGTGTGCTTGATATGTATGCTTGCATATACATATGTGTATACATATAAATAAGGGTTTCCTTCTTCCCTCTCTACTTGAATCAAAACCATGAGACACGCCAACAAGTTTGTGATGAAAAATTCCAGATGGTCACGTACAAAAATAAAGTAAATAGGTGTGTGGTATTATGGCATAGATAATCCTAGTAGACTCTTCCTATCACACTAGCAACCTGTCTATAACCACAAGGTAAGTACTAATTTTCCTAATTTAATTCAGCCAATTTATATTCAGCAGTTACTGTGTGTTAAGTACTTATGCTAAACTGGGAATTTTTTGTGAGTGAGAGAAACTGGATTTCTCCTCTCAGGCAGCTTATAGTTTACAGAATGAAATGAGTCAGTACAGGCAATTACTATATAATTGAAAAAAGCCAAGAGGCTGTGGAGACTGGGTGCTGTGGAGACTCCTAGGAGAGACAACTAAGCCTAGGGAATGAAATATCACTCAACTGAGCTCTGAAAGATGAGTGGATGTTAGAGAAGAAAAAGGTAGGGCTTCCATGGCACCATGTTCTTTTTGGGTTACCTCTTACTTCACTAGCTGCTCCATTTCAGCCTTCTTTGCTGATTCTTAATCTTCTTTCCCACCTCTTACTACTTAAGTGCCTCAGGCAGCAGTCCTAGTGGAGCTTTTCTGATTCTACATTCTCCCTCGGTGATCTCATCTAGCCTCAAAGCTTAAATACTATTTAAATGCAAATACTCCCAAATTCGTATCTCCAACTTAGACCTTTCCCCCGAGCTCCAAACTCATATTCAATTACTTACTCTACAACTCTGAGGGTCCACCAGAATTCCCTACCATGTTCTTCACTGAGATACTTGGTCTCCTACACCCCCAAAGTCAGTCTCCCTATCTCCACTGATGACAACCTTGTTCCACTAGTTACTCAGGCTAAAACTTGGGAGTCCTTCTTGACAACTTTCTTTTTCTCACATCCATCAGAAACCTTCCAAAACATACTAAAAACCCAGCCACTCCCTCTACCTCATTCAGTGCTACCATCCTGGTCTAAACCACAATCAGCCTCTTCTGGATTATTGTAATAGTCTCTCCCTGGCCTCTGTCCCTCCACACTAACCCCCCCCCACCAATGATCTATTTTCAAAGTATCAGCTTGTTGTAATTCCCAAGTTAGACTATGCCACACCTCAAAACGTTCAAAAGGTTCACAATTCTACTTATAGTAGAATTCTTAGAATGAGCTCCAAGACCTAACATGATTCGGATCCTGCCCCCTCCATTACCCCATTTTCTAATCTTCTTCCCCACTCAGTGTTTATAAGGTTCTTGATTTATTCGAGTCTTCTACTTCTAGAATTATATTTATTCTTAAGATAGAAATTTATTTGGATATAATCATTTAAACTTTTTCTATAAAATCATCCATGTTACTGAAGTCTAATTTACTAGTATGGAGTTATGCATGGTAATTAATAACAGAAGCAATATAATACAAAGCGTCCCTATCATGCATGGGACTGTTTCCGTATAAATGGCAAGTTGTGTATCATAACTTTTCATTTTCCCTATAGAACTATCAGAAAGATGTTTAACCCAAGTTATAGGATCACCCAATTAGGAAGTAAAAGACCCAAATGCTTCACTAATCTGAGTAATAATCATCTGAATATCTGTTGTTGCAGTCACCATCATCTTTTTCCTGAACCTCTGCTATTTAAAAAATACATTTTCTATCCAGTAGCCAGAGGGTATTTTAAAATACAAAATCTAATCTGTTACTACTTCTATAGCTAGCTTCCCACTGTTCTTAGAATAAAGATCAAAACCCTTGATATGGTGTATGATGTTATATATAATGAGGTACTTGCCCACCTCCCCAGCCTCATCCAATACCACTTTTCTTCTCACTTTCTGCCCCCACCTACTCTGACCTTCTTTCAGTTCACAAATGATACATAATCTCTCTCATGGTGTATTATAATGGCTCCCCAAAAATGTCCACTGTCCTAATCCCTGGAACCTATAAATATGTTACCTTACATGGAAAATGGGACTTTGCAGATGTGAAGAAATAAAGGACTTTGAGGTAGAGATTATCCTGGATTATGTAGATGGGTTCAAGGGTCCTAAATGAAAATGAGAACAGGAGAGAGAGAACCAAAGAGAAAGTATCATGAAAAAGATTGGACTGGCTCTTGCTGGCTTTGAAGATGGATGAAAGAGGCCACAAGCCAAGGGATTCAGGCAGTCTCTAGAAGCTGGAAAAGGCAAGGAAACAGATTCTTCCCAAGAACCTCCAGAAAGAACACCTTGATTTTAACTCTGTAAGATCTATTTTGAACTTCTAAATTCTGGAACTGTGAGATAATAAGTCTATATTGTTTTAAGCCACTGAGTTTGTCATAATTTGTTACAGCAGCAATAAGAAATGAATACACCTCTTGATATAGGACATTTTCACATGCTTTTCCTTCAGAAACAGTCCTCTTATCTTCTTTCTCCCCACCATCTTACCCCTTCTTCTGCCTAACTAACAACTTGTCTGGTCATCCTTCAGATTTCTACTTAAATATCACTTTTTTAAGAGAGCTTTCTTTCCTTGGATCCCAATCAGAGTCAAATTCCTTTTAGTAGTTTCTCATGGAATCCCACTCTCTTTCTTGACAACCCCCATCTCAGTTTGTAAGTTGATTAATGTCATTCTCCTGCACAAACTCTAGTTCTTTGAGAATAAGGAGATAATACGGTTTTTTTTTGCTCACAGTCGAGTACCTGTCACCATAGTTGAAGCACAGTCAATATGCAGTGAGTGAATTAATGAGGTTATACTTGAATGAATTTAGACCTGTACTGCAAACTAGTGGCTACTGTCCTATTGAAGTAGCTTCCAAAGACTCTGCTTGATTGTAGAAGACTAAGATTAATGATCCTTATTAATATTACTTTATTTAGTGATAACAGGCAGTAAAACACTTCTTTTTTTTTTTAAGATTTTTTATTTATTTATTTGACAGACAGAGATCACAAGTAGGCAGAGAGGCAGGCAGAGAGAGAGAGGAGGAAGCAGGCTCCCCACTGAGCAGAGAACGCGACGTGGGGCTCCATCCCAGACCCTGGGATCATGACCTGAGCCGAAGGCATAGGTTTTAACCCACTGAGCCACCCAGGTGCCCCAGTAAAACACTTCTTAATGTTATTTTGAGATGTTAGCAAAATTTCATTTTATTTTTATTTATAAGATTCATATTTATTCAAATCAAGTGGTTATATTAATGAGCATGGGTCTAAAATCTAGGAAATATTCTTGGGGCACCTGGGTGGCTCAGTGGGTTAAGCCTCTGCCTTCAGCTCAGGTCATGGTCTCATGGTCCTGGGATCGAGCCCCGCATCGGGCTCTCTGCTCAGCAGGGAGCCTGCTTCCCTTCCTCTCTCTCTCTGCCTGCCTCTCTGCCTGCTTGTTATCTCTGTCTGTCAAATAAATGAATAAAATCTTTTAAAAAATAAATAAATAAAATAAAATAAAATCTAGGAAATATTCTTAAAGCCTCTTAAATGGATGAAGTACTCTAAAAAACAAGAATATATGAAAGAAGAGTAAGTTTTATGCTGCTAAATGTTGAAGGCAGTTTTTGAAGACCCTTTCATTGACTGGTATACAATTTTGAAAGATATCTAATGATGATGTCAGACACAGAGGAAAAAAAGGGGAAAGAAATGGAAATTTAAGAGGAATGTAAAGATAGCACTTCTGCTTCGTAATTCTGATATACATGAGAGGGGGGGAAAAAAACAGAAAGGAAGACTTACCAAAAAAATTCTGTCTAACAGAAAGCTCATTATATTGACTTCATGCTTAATGAGCTATCTATTTTGTCTTTTATAATATATATTTTTCTGTAACTGCTTGAGGTATAAATATATAGTTCCCAAGTTTATACTGTGTACCTTGGTTTCAAATAAGTTAGTGTTTATGCCCTGAAGACAGAAGGGGTCAGGTTAATTAATGAAGATTTGGATGGAACATAAGATATAGGGGAAGAAAGGAGATTAAAATATACTATTGATTGAGTCTGGTAAGGAAAGTAATTTTATTTTAGATGAGAGAGAGAGATGATGTATCAGAAATTGATAGGAATCTTTTTGCTACATAGGGTGTGTATATGTGCATGGGTACATGTGCATAAAACATTCTTGACAAGAGGAGTAAGTAATTTGGTTATTGAACCAAGGCTCATTGACTTCCCTGGGTTTTGCAGAAATGAACTTTGTAACTTTTGGCTAGACTTTATGCTGCAAGGAAGATCTCTGTATTAAGTGATAAAGACGATTCCGTAAACCTAATATAGCCAAAAAGTCTAATCGTGTGATGATATAAATGTGATCTACACTTTCCTTATTTATTAAATATCTTACCAACTTTCTCTGTTCCTGGTGTGGTCCTTACCAAAATTGCTTGTGAAAGTTTTATGGGGCTTATAGTTTTTTGTTGTTGTTGTTTAAAGTGTGTTTGAATAAAGGAGAATTGTTTTCAGGGCTGGGTAACTCCATGGAAGGAGGCTTTGGGTATTCACTGTTCTGCTGAGTTGTTATGCAATGAGCCTTTTCTTCTTTTTATGCTGCATATTGTTGTTCAGATTTGCAAGAATTAAGGTTATTTTTGCCTTTTCTAAGCAATCTTAGACT